TGTGCAAACAGCCTGCAGGTCAGAGTAATCCTAAGAGCAGAAAGGGCTCACTAGATCAGGAACGCTCCTTCTCAACAAATCCAGGTTTCTTCTCTTTTGCTTTGGGACAGCTCAGAAAGATCATTTGGGAGAAGCCTACTTAAAGGAAGGTAATCTCCTTAAAAATCCTTAGCAAGCCTTTGAAATGGATTTTTGCTTATTACAATTGCCACTCTTGTGTTTTGATCGATGGTCTACAGCCTGGCACCATATCAGGAAAATATCGTTTGATAATTTGAAGCAAGCAAGTTTTTATAAAGACCCTTTCTCAAGCCTGGCACAAATGGATCTGTCTTCCTCAGAAAAACCATAAGCCATAGTTCTGTAGTAGATTGTAAATGTTTCCTTTTTTGGGTACATTTGGTTTATAGCCTCTGTTGCATTCCATATCTCAAAGGCTTCAAGTTTAGGGGGCGGAAGAGCAGCGAGAAATAAACTGGTGCATTGTCCTTGGCTGAGCAAAACTATATCAGCCACAATATTTTTCCCCTCCCCCTACAAGACTTCCAGCACAAATCACTCCCTTCTCCCCTTTATTCAGCCTCCCACATCCCCCTTTTAAAAATTGTCTCCCTTTATATACCACAAGCTCTGCTATTCCACACACACACACACACACACACAATTTACTCTTCTTTTAAATTACATGTCACTGGGGTTCTCTACTGTCATTGATTCTTTGTTAAACAATTAAGCAAGTCCCAATAGGACATGTGAAACTATCTCCTTACAGTACACAGTCCAGGGCATGTACCAAAATAACATGCAACCATTATCCCACCACATTCATTTTTCTCAATAATAACTGTTCAGTAACTGTTCATTGAGCTGTAGATGACACTTCTTCTCTAAATGGAAATGCCTCAAATGTTACCATTCTTTATTAGGGAGCTGATCTACCCACTTGATCATTTTGGTTGCCCTTTTCCAAATTTATGATATCGTTTTGGGGGTGATATGACCAGAACTGTAATCAGTATTCCAAGTATACCCACACTGTGTGGGAAGGAGAGCCAATCTACACATCCAGACAAATCTTGGGGTGTAGCATTTTGGAGGCTGTTGTGCTTTAGTCTGTAGGTGAGCTGTTGGTAGATTTGAATCCCACCAATGGTAGAAAAGGGACGCGGGTGGCGCTGTGGGTTAAACCACAGAGCCTAGGACTTGCCGATCAGAAGGTTGGTGGTTCGAATCCCAGTGACGGGGTGAGCTCCCGTTGCTCGGTCCCTGCTCCTGCCCACCTAGCAGTTCGAAAGCACATCAAAGTGCAAGTAGATAAATAGGTACCGCTCCGGCGGGAAGGTAAACGGTGTTTCCGCGCACTGCTTTGGTTCGCCAGAAGTGACTTAGTCATGCTGGCCACATGACCCGGAAGCTGTACGCTGGCTCCCTCGACCAATAAAGCAAGATGAGCGCCGCAACCCCAGAGTCGGTCACGACTGGACCTAATGGTAAGGGGTCCCTTTACCTTTAATGGTAGAAAGATCCCTTTGCAGACAGAAAATAAAAAGTCCAAAAAGAGTTCGACTCTGGTGCTAATGGATGAGCTCCTTCCCTCTCTTGATACGGAGATGATTAAGAGTCTGCTATTAGCACTTCAAGCATTTCCTGACAGCAAAAGGTCATAACCTCATATTCATTAGCCTTGTCACAAATTAGAATCACTGCAGATTTACATATTAGCAATAAAAAGATATGTAATTCATATAATTTATGTTCATTTCTACTAGGACCTTTTGCTTTAGTCTTAATTTCTGCAGATAAATAAGTCAGAAAAGCATAAAAGGGGTCGTGCCCAACACATAAGGTTAGCAAGGCAAGTGCTAGAAGCTATAAATATGCAATCTGCAACATGTTAATACTGGGCATGCTTTTTAATTTTTAAATGCCATTTTACTTCTCTGTGAATACTCATGCTTCAAATTTCAATCAGTGATGAGCTAAACAGATGTAGTGCCTTGACTCAATTATGAATCTGAGATTGTTTTCATAAACACACTTATGGAGAAGTAGGATCAACTGAAATCACATAATGAGTATAATCCCATAATTTATTCCTTTTTATCTTTCTGCCCCATTCTAGTTTTAACAGCCATTACTGATGTTATCCAATCAATCTGCCTACAGCTCAGAATTTCTCCTACTCCCTTTCATTACTGAGAAGGATATTACATTAGCGGGGAGTAAGAGAGGAGACTAAATCACAGGGGCAACTATTAACTTTAAAATACATAATAAAAATGTTATGGCTGGCCCTATGCAGAGCTTAGACTAGACTAAATTTCTATACTATTAAGTTATATACAGTTTAATGAAGCCACCAAATGTTAATCTATTAATTGGTTTGATTAATCTATTAACACTGTAAAACGCAATATATTATTTGCAGGCCATGAAGTAATTCTCAAGGTTCAAGGTAGGTCATACATGACGTTCAGCATGGATGTTTGCAGAATAACTAGTCAAGAAGAAAACAAAACTTCTTCTAAGCCAGTGTGTGATTTGGGAGCAATCTGACATCAGGCTTGGCTTCTGAAACAAACTGAGTGTGCTCAACTTCAGTCTTCTTCTTCTTTGGTGATCACTCGTAGCCGAGTAAGATTGCCTTCCATGAAAACCGTCTTAACAATGAGTCCGTAAGTGACTGTGGAGGCCAATTCTGGATCCACATGTCCTTCCACAGCAGGGACATAGGTGATCACGGTGAGGGTTTGCCAAGCGTGCCTTCCTCTTAGCTCGTTTCTCCTTTTCACCCTTAGTCCATGCTTTTCAAAGTCCATGACACCTTTGAAAAAGGCTGTTCTCCAACTAGAGCGCTCACAGGCCAGTGCTTCCCAGTTACCAATGCTTATACTACATTTTTTAAAGTTTTGCCTTGAAAGCATCTTTAAACCTCTCTCTCAACTTAGTCACATTCAAGGTCGAGGGGCTGGTTGGGAGGAGAGAGTGGCTAATGTTGAATGTGCAAACAGAGAGCAGCATGTAGGGGAATGAAGGCTTTCTGTCAGGATACTTCCAAGCTTGCATTTTATCATGGCAAGCAGGGAAGAAAGCTGCATAGCCTGCCACTCTAAACATCAGCCACAAAATTAATGGTGTTCCTTTCCAGCAAAGCTACTTGTGTGACTTGTGTCTATTAAAGAGATGACTGCCTTCTCTGCAGTCAGTCACAAAATGTGGCACACAGATTTATGTGAATGGCGATGTCCATTAACTTTGGTGGGGCTTAGCTCCATATATATATATATATATATATATATATATATATATATATATATGGTTTTCACCTAATACATCTTTTAAAAAACCATATGCTGCCATTCTGATTTTTCTGTGACTTCCCATATCACTCAATAAGACGTTATATCTCTACTCTCTGAACTGCCCATTTGTTTCTAACATTACACAAAGCATAAACTATAAACCCGAAAATAACATATTCTTGTTCTTCTGTTGCTGAAGATATAAATCCATCTCGTATTGAAAATGAATTAAAGTATTTACTTAAATAATCTGAAAAGGTTTTCCATTCTTCCACTGACACCTCATTATTAGAGACTCGTCATTTAGCAGTTAGTTTTGCCATTTCAGCATAGTCCATTGGTTTGTTAATCCATTCTTCTTTTGTGGGTATTGCTGTTCCCTTCCACTTGCCCCCTTAAATATTTTATTAGGAGGGGCCAAAGTGAACTCTGCCCCTTGACATTGGCTCCTATGCTTCTCTGTCTGCAACAGAGTTACAGGCAGACTGCAGTGTGTGTGAAAGAGAAGATTAACAATTGCATAACACAGGAAGGCATAATCATTGGACTTTTTGACCTGAGTCCTCTTCCCTCCATCCCTAAACCATTCTGGTATTTTCACCACTTCTTTCTCCACCCACCACAAGTTCCGCCCATGGTTCATGTGTCCTTCTCCCTGAAGCCATATTCATTCCTATGCCCAGTAGGACCATTATTTGCCAGGTTCGACTTACCAACACAAAAGCCAGTGGGAGAAGGGGGGAAATCTCCATCCCTGATTCCTTGAATACAGTGGTACCTTGGGTTACAGACGCTTCAGGTTACAGACTCCGCTAACCCAGGAATAGTACCTCGGGTTAAGAACTTTGCTTCAGGATGAGAACGGAAATCGCACAGCGGCGGCAGTGGGAGGCCCCATTAGCTAAAGTGGTACCTCAGGTTAAGAACAGTTTCAGGTTAAGAACGGACCTCCAGAACGAATTCAGTTCTTAACCTGAGGTACCACTGTATAGCCTTCAGAACAAATGAACAGGAGCTACCCAGATGAAGATGAATTACACCTTGACCACCCAGGATCAATTAACATGGCACAATGTTGCAGTTAACACCAAATTTTGAAGGCTGGCTGGTGAGGAGGAAGGCAGGGAGAATTGCTGAGCACAGCTATTGGCCCCCAACAGGTTAGCTGCGCTTGTGATCTTACCAGCTTCATTGGGTGAGAAGGAGTTAAAATTGCTCTAATGTCTCCTGTGACCCTATAGTGTAAGGCAAATAAATAAGTTGGAAGACCCTCAAAGGCATCAAGATCTAGCCAATGCAAAGAATGTAAAGGAAAATCAATTAGATTTCTACACCGTTGAAAGATAACAGCTCTGCACAGCATGGTCTCTCAGTTGTTTACCCAGCTAACTGTGAGGCATTAATTTTATCCCAGCTATACAGTACAATATGCCCTTGCAGTTTGTTGCAGTTTCGCTACAAAGCAATTGGAAATTTTCTTTTGTTTTAATAGGGGTTGAGAAAGGTCGAGCCCACAGAGGCATTAAACAAACAACTCTAAGGAACAGGCAGAACACTTCCATTTCATTTCACTCAAGTCTTTTCTCCTTTGTTACTTCAGACACAAAATTGCAAAATGTCCAAGTTTTCTTTATTTCCTTTTCTTCTTTTAGACAGGCAGTCCCTGTTTTCTCGCATTCTTTTTCTTTTCCAGCCTGACTTTGGTTGCGCTGCAATGGAGAGCAGAGGCACCTTGAATGCAGCTCATGTTGATAGGCCATGGGGAGTCAGACCATTGCTCCTTCTAGTGCAATATTGTCTACACTGACACATAGCTGTCAACTTACAGATTTGAAAATAAGGGACCAGCAGCATCAAAAATAAGGGATCAGCAGCCAAAATAAGGGATTTTCTGGACACAGGTATGTTTAACTTCTGAACCCCTCCGAGCCAAAGGCAGAAAGACCAGCCAGCAGCCAAACAAAGCCTCAAGCCTCAAGGAAAACCACCGTCACCTCTCCGCTGGGAAGCGCTGAGCAAAGGCGAGTCCCCAGGCAACGCAGCCGATTTGATCAGCACAAGGCATGCAAGCTCCACCCCCCAGTCGTTCTTAGACTTCTTATTGGGTGAGCAACGCAGCCAAGCAAGACAGTTGGAGCCTCCCTCCTCCCTGGCCAGCAGGGAGGGAGGGAGAGGAGCTGCTTCCTTTGAAACCCGGGAAATTTAAGGGACATCATGAATAAGGGACAGCAGCGGGACATGGCGCTGGGATAAGGGATTGTCCCACCAAATAAGGGACGCTTGACAGCTATGCACTGACAGGCCGTGGCTCTCCTCTTTCATACGATAGTCTCTCCATGCCTGAGATGCCAGTAATTGAAACTGGGACCTTCTGCATGTTCTAGCACTGAACGACAGTCCTTCCACAGGTTCAATCCCTGGCATCTACTGATAGGGCTGGAAATATCCCCTGCTTGAAATTCTAGAGAGCTGCTTCCATTCGGTGTAAACACTACTGAACTGGACAATGGTGTCTGACTCTGTATAAGGCAGCTTCCTATTTGCCACTCTTTCCCCTGCCGCTGCGTTCCTATTAATGCACCATTGCTGAAAAATGCTTTAGCAAGGCATCCACGCAACTACAGGAAATTGAAATGGCGTGGGAGGGGAGAAGCAGCTGTGTGTGTGTTTGTGTGTGAATGTGAGACTGATAACTATTCTTATAATGCTTGGGCTTTATGAGTAAAGTACCGTATTTTTTGCTCTATAAGACTCACTTTTTCCCTCCTAAAAAGTAAGGGGAAATGTGTGTGTGTCTTATGGAGCGAATGCAGGCTGCACAGCTATCCCAGAAGCCAGAACAGTGAGAGGGATCGCTGCTTTCGCTGCACAGTGATCCCTCTTGCTGTTCTGGCTTCTGGGATTCAGAATATTTTTTTCTTGTTTTCCGCCTCCAAAAGCTAGGTCCGTCTTATGGTTTGGTGCGTCTTATAGAGCGACAAATACGGTAAGTAAAATAAAAAAGGTAAAGGACCCCTGGTGAACGGCAACATTATAGGATCTCATTTTGAAACCAGGCGTGTGGAAACCCACAAGAAGTGTGTTTTCAAGGTTAGGGAAGTGAAAGTTATATGCATTTTTCTCCAGTTTTGACTGTGTGTCACAGTCATTTTTGCTGCTGAGTGACACAGAACTAGCTTTCTTTCTGCAACTGCTAGTGTAAATTCAAAGGCTTTACAGCTCTGTGTTTGTGATTACTGAGGATACAAATGAATACATGGAGAGGGATGGTGATCTCAGCCACAGATCTGACTTTTTGACCCATATGCATTCCCATTCCCATTTGCACTGATGTATACACATGAATGTTTATCAAGCTCCCTACCCATAATTTATCTCTTCTAAAAATGACCCCTCAGGAAATTGGACCCTGGATGTTTCAATTTCCAGGGCTAGGTACAAGTTCTCACCCTAGCCTCCCTCATTACACATACATTTGTATACTTGAAGATGTCCTGGACAGTGCTTACATTTCCTGCCTTCACAACAAACGGGAGAGATAGGTCATGAACATTTCCACTGTACACATGAGACTAAGACAGAATGGTCTATCCCATAGGTAAGGTAAAGGACCCCTGGACAGTTAAGTCCAGTCAAAGGAGACTATGGGGTGTGGTGCTCATCTTGCTTTCAGGCCAAGGGAGCTGGCGTTTGTTCACAGACAGCTTTCCAGGCCATTTGGCCAGCATGACTAAACTGCTTCTGGAGCAACAGAACACCATGACAGAAGCCAGAGTGCATGGAAATGCCGTTTACCTTCCCGCCACAGTGGTAGCTGTTTATCTACTTGCACTGGCATGCTTTGAACTGCTAGGTTGGCAGGAGCTGGGACAGAGCAACGGAAGCTCACGCCGTTGCACGGATTTGAATCGCCGACCTTCTGATCTGCATGCCCAAGAGGTTCGGTGGTTTAGACCACAGCGCCACCCGCATCCTGACTGGACAGAAGGCCCGTTGATTCCTGCTTTCTATCCCAAATTACGTTGGGGTGTCGGACCTGTAAGCCCATGCCATAGACAGAGATGATGCAGGGCATTTTCCATGGGGGGATTCCTAATGGGGCTTTGAGACTGAAGGCCCAAACATGCCACAGGGTGGCAAGTTTGCTACAGGCTCTTTTAGAAGATGTTTTCACAATGTCTCTAATATACCACAAAAGACTTGACAAATTTGAAAAAAACCAGAGAAAATTGCATTTGTCAAATCACACTCAATAAACCACCAGATTCATAAAGTTCACAGCTGCTTTCATTTTAGGTGTTATGAGAACTATATTCACAATTTTGCTTATAAAAAACCCCCAATAAATTAAGGGGGGAAGAGAAATGTATCATTGATAACTTCTGGTTAAAACATCATTGAATCAGGAAGTTACTGAACAGAAATGCATTATTTAGTGGTCTAATATAGACAATGGATAAGCTTATACCACTAATTAAATGGAGCACATAGATGAAAAATACATGGGGACATGGAATATTCATTAACAGTTCTTGTTATGTAAAACTTCCAGTCTAATCAAGGTCATGTGTGCCTCCTTCCTATCTAATGTCAGATAGTGTTAAACAGGATCATTACAAATTCTATATAAATTTAAGGCGCTTGCAGCCTCAACAGAGAATGCAAGCTGCCAAGACTGCCAGGTTTCCAAAGTTGCCAAGAAATCCTTTTCTGAAGCTCGTCTTGTGACCTTAGGGAACTGATAGAATAGCAGGAGTAATGCTGGATGAGCAATTCAGAATTCCACTACAGTTAAAGCTTGGGTGAGTATCTACTAGTGCAACTGAGGGAACTTGAGCAAATTAGATTGGGTGCAGTCAGAGCAGAGCCACTGAAATTTGGAGCAGCCAGCTGCACAGATGTATGTGTGTGACATGTTAGATAACACCACTATTTTTTCCCTCAGAGTCTTGGTGACATCATGCCACTATATGTTACGGTTGCTTTTGGACTGGTGGAGCACTTCAACGTTCCACGTGCTGTGCTGCAGGTAGGAAGAAGGGAAAGATTGGGTTCCCCCTCTGGAAAGAAGCAGAAGTCCCAACAAAGGAAGAATGGATACAAGAACTTACGGAACATGCAGAAATGGCGAAACTTGCCGGAAGAATAAGGAATCAAGGTAACAAGCTTTTATATATATAAAAGAATGGAAATGGTTTATTGAATATTTACAGATAAATTGTAAACAGATAAGAACATTGGCAGGATTATTGTAATAACCTGCAGTTTCATAAGAGTATATATTTAAAGAAGATGAATAAATGAGCAAATAAGTTGATTTGGAGATGCAGAAGATATTAAACATAAATTTAAGGAACCACAGAATAATAATAATAATAATAATAATAATAATAATAATAATAATAATAATATCTTTATTGTCATTGCCCCCTTCGGGGACAACGAAATTACTTGACTGCTCCATAAAAACACTAATTAATCAATACAGTATAACACAGCAAGGGAGATTAGATGACTTTCAAAGTCCGGGCTTCCCATTCAGGGCCGAGATCGCTCTGGAGAAGAAGCTGTTCTTAAGACGGCTCGTTCTTGTCTTCATCGTCCTGTATCTCCGTCCCGACGGCAAGAGCTCGAAGAGACAGTGACCAGGATGCGATGGATCTTTTACTATGTCCAGTGCCTTCCTATGGCACCTTGTGGCATAAATCTGCTCTAAGGTGGAGAGTGGGCAGCCAACAATGCTCTCTGCTGCCTTAACAACCCTGCACAACCCCATCCTGTCCTGGGTAGTACAGCTTCCGTACCACACACATAAGCCATAAGTGAGCACGCTCTCAATGGCACAGTGATAGAAGGCAAGCAGCAGTTTCTGCGGAAGATGGTTTTTCCTTAGTATTCTCAAAAAGTACAGTCTCTGCTGCGCCTTCTTCACAAGCCCCCTTGTGTTGACACTCCAGGACAGATCCTCTTGTAATTCAATGCCCAAAAGAGGGGGAACGAAGTCAAACTTTGAGTGTAATGATGGTAAAATCAGTGAAATGTATAAACCTGAAAAGTATAATTTATTTTTTTTAAAAAAAGAAGAAGATTGGGTTCCCTTTAGCCAGATCCCTCACCCCCAGTTTCCCTCACCCCCAAGCTGTGTGCCTGTCTGCCGCTGATAGAGTGAAACAATAGAACAATTAGCAAGGTTGTGATACAATGACTACTGCAATTGACACAAGGTAATATCGCCATGTGGGTAGGTGGAAGGCCTTCTAGCAGAAGACCCAGAAACAGGAAATTCTGGAGGGGCTGAGCCTTAAGCATTTGCACTGAAATAGCATGATGGCAGCAGGCCTAATTTAGTTTTGATGGTTGGTCTAGCAGCAGGCTGGCATAGCAATTGTCCTGCCCTCATGTTCCCTCTGGGTTGCTGTGCACAGCTGGGCTGTGTTTATGGTAGTGATGTTGCCACTCTGTAAAGTCCCACCTGTCCATTTGGATTAGCCCCTAAGTCCCAGAGCATTGCTAGCAAAAGGAAGTTTGAGTTATATGACCAGAAACTAGAACACTGGAGCTCAAATATATTTTCAAGTACAGTGGTACCTCAGGTTACATATGCTTCAGGTTACATACACTTCAGGTTACACACTCCGCTAACCCAGAAATAGTGCTTCAGGTTAAGAACTTTGCTTCAGGATAAGAACAGAAATCGGGCTCTGGCGGTGCGGCGGCAGCGGGAGGCCCCATCAGCTAAAGTGGTGCTTCAGGTTAAGAACAGTTTCAGGTTAAGAACGGACCTCCGGAACGAATTAAGTACTTAACCCGAGGTACCACTGTATATGGCAGTTGACTACAGAGATAAGGGCAAGCATTTCTCCCAACCAATGTTGGAAGCTTCCGAAGCCATTTGAGTTGGAATTGCCAACAAGAGAAAAATTCTAGGAAGAATGGTGCAATTCCACAGAGGAATTTGTGGATTCCTGACTTGCTTCAAGTGAAGTTTGACACGATTTTTTAGGTCCCTGATTACCAGAGAAGTTAAGAGAATTTCAGGGAAACAAGCACATTTTCCCTCACGGCATTTCATACATATCATCCTAAAGTAGCTCCCCCCCCCCTTCTTGAAAAAGAATGGTAGAATACCTTTTGGGTAAACTCGGGTAAAACTCAAAATATATCTCTTCTCTATGAATCCTGATTTATTTTTCAGATCTCTTCCATTGTTCTCTGTGGTGAGGGAGCCAGTGAAGGGTGCTTAGCCTGGAGTAGGTCTCCGTCTACCGCAGCACACATCAAATTGCCAAAGGAAGAAATGCCAAATTACTGGACTGTTACACCAACAGGATGCCTGGAAATGGAGCATTATATTTGGCAGTAATTCATCTGATTTCTGTAGATACTTTGACTACATAGTTCGAAACATGGAATTCACCACCATATTCCTACTGTGGAGAAGTTGCCTATGACCATATCAGGCTTCCTGCTACTTATCCACTGCAAGAACTTCCGTGTTGCTTACTTTGTTCTTGGGTGTGAGCAGATCTGTCATGAAGTCTCTACCTCCTTCCTGGAATGCCTGCAGCTAGTGAAACCTGAAGAGCTTTGTGTGTTCTCTTATAACTCCAAAACACCCAAAAGACAACTGAAAGATGGCCTAGAAGCTGATAATAGTGGATTACCAAGGAATGAGGACTTTCAATGACTACCAGGAAGTAACTGATACTAGGAAAGACTGTAAGATGGTTCTTTTCCAGATAGCCATTTGAATGCAATGTTTCATTCCAATGACTTCTTATGTTTCGCTAATATTTCAGTGTGATTTTACTGATGTATTTTTACATTTGATTTGTAAAAAGCAGGATATTGATTACAGTAATAAATAAAGGGGGGTTTTATTTAAAAGAATCATTAAATAAATTTACATGCAGCCAATGCTTTTCTTCTAGAAGAAACGATGCCCATGCTGTGTATCATTGAGTACTCCTAGGAAAAGACACTGCATGCAGTGATATATCTCATTCAGGTAATCCCGGTACCAGGGTGGCGTATGTTTTTCATCCTGAGGGCCATGTTTCCTTTGAGGTAACCTTCCAGAGGCCACATGCCTGTGGTGGATGCATACCCTTCAAGTGTCCCAATTTTCCTGGGAAATCCTGGAATTACAGAAGCCATCCCAGTTTCTGATTTAATCCCAGAATGTCCTGTTTTCCCCCTCCAGTGCCGCCGCCACTGAGCTTGGGCTGGTGCTTGCAGCCAGCGCTGACACTTGCGGTGTTGCTGCGCTCTTGTGAGAGTCAGCTGACTCCTGCAAGAGTACGGCACCAAGATATGCACATCCCAATTTTTATCAGAGTGATGTTGGAGGGTATGGGGTGGTGCCAGAAGCAAAAGTGAGCAAAGCAAGAAATGAGTTTTTTATCTTTTTACAGTTGGCTAATTTCCACTGCTGGAGGCAGCGGAAGACAGAAGTGCCTGGCGTGCTCTGGTCCATGGGATCACGAAGAGCCGGACACGACTAAACAACTAAACAACAATTTCTACTGTGCAACACACACACACACACACACACACACACACACACACAAACACACACACACACACTTGGCCAAGGCAGGCAGGATGCATGGTCAAAGTTCAGGGACACATTGCAGCTATGCAAAAATGCTCAAGGACCCCGAAGAACAAGGCCAATCAGGGATGTGGCCTGAATAAAGAGGTGTGTCTGGGAAGGGGTGTGGCCTTTGGAGAGTTCTAAGTCCAGATAGGGAGTCCTGTATGGCTTCATTTGACTCCCTGATCTCAGGTTTCCAAACCCTGGCCTCTGCCAAAACAATAAATTTTGATCAAGACCGGGAGGATACTTCCTCATTATTTCACCTATCAGATTTTTTGACAGCCCAGGAGTAATTAGAGCAATAATTTCCATACTGCACAAAATGCGCACCCTCCGTGTTTCATCCTCCTCTTCTTTCTTTGGAGCATTTAACAATTGGATGTTTTGGGCACTTACGATTTTCAATTTTGTATTCCTCACTAAACCCTGAACTAAGAATCTCTGCCCATCACTTAACAAATGGACTTCTAGTGTGGACTGTTATTAGCATTTTAATAGGGCTCTTTAGGGAGAAGCAACTTGGCCTCTTCTGGCAATGGAGGAAAATAATAATTGAAAAATATGCAGGGGAAAATATTATTTTGCTGTTGCGTAAAGAGAAATTGTAGGTTGACGTACAGTGCTGAAAGTGCCTGTTAGAAAGGAACTGAAGTAGAGAGAACTATATATATGTAAATGCTGATGGCATCCCAGCCTGAGGAAAATGTACTTTTATCAAGAGGGTGCATTTTAATGAAGAGTTAATATGCAATTGAAGGGAGGAAGAAAGGAATTATTGGCCTGCTTCTTATCTCACTGATATAATAGTACAACAGGAGCAATTCAATGAATGAAGGAAATTAAATTATGGCGGACAGGAATTGGAAGGCGTGTTAGCTTCAAACCTATTGGGAACATATAGACCAGAAGTAGGACTTTTTTTCCCAAAGACATCTTCACAGATGATCCAGTAGGAACTATCACATTCTAAGGATGCTTGAGGAATTTGAACTTTATAAATTCCAATAGAAACTGGTCTGATCCACACCTCCTGGACTAATGTGTGTATTGTAAGGCAGCCACCCCCTTCCCAAATGTTCTAGTAAAGCTTCCAGTTTTGAAAACAAAGGCATATTATGAGAGTGAAAAAAATGTTTGGAAATGTGTACTTTAAGATAAAAATGTTTTTAAATTATGAATTTTCATGCTGCTTTTTTAAAAAAAAGAAAGTATCTCTGATTTATGAAGAAATGGGAAAGAATAGATTTATTAATGAACACATGGCAAAATGGTTAGTAAATATATTTTTATTCCAGCAAGCTGCAGGGTTGCTAAGGTTGTTTTAACCTGTAAGCACTGCCATTGTTTCTTTTAAATGGGATTTTAATGCGAATTTCTATTGCTAACGTCTTTGTAATTTAATATATTTGTTGTACTGGGATTTTAAATTGTTCTAAGTTGCCCTGAGTGGTGCATGGAATGGAGGGGTAGATTAAAGTAAAGTCACATGGATTGAAGATAGAGTAATATGTCCATCACTTGGTCTATCACATCCACATTTGGAATTGTAAAGTAATCAT